GCCTCCTCCCTCTGCTTTTCTTAATTTTTTAAATTTACTAATTGGAGAATGACATCAGCTCTTGCATGGGGTTGTTTGATGGGAATGAGATTTGGTTTTCTTTTCTTGGTAAAGATGACAATCATACACGAGTCCTTGGAGAAATTCACACGAGTCCTTTTTATGGAGAAGTTTTAGTTGTTTGTGATTTATTTCAATATAGATATAGATAGATTAATAAACAGTCTGCATGAATTTACTCAATCTAAATCAAGACCAGGGCCGGTCCTGAGCATTCGGGGGCCTAGGCAAAAATTTGTACAAAAATCCTAAATGGGCCCTCCTATAGTCAATATTTTTTTAAATAAAGTGTTGCACCCAAGTAACTTTAGGGCTGCCTACATACCAAGGGATGCTATAACTAACCCCAAGGATCAAACACAATGTAGTTCTCCTAAGCTACCCACCCTGGCCAAAGGCCTACAAATCACACCCTAACACTCTCATTCCCAAAACAAGATCAATGAACCAATAGAAGTGTCACTTTATGTAGCCTCTTCTTGCATTTTTAGATGCAAAATCATTAATTAAACTTGTATAATCAAGCTTCTCCACTATATTTTTCTCAATTGACAATATAGCTAAGTCATTCAATCTATCTTGTGACATAGTTGATCGAAGGTAAGATTTGATCAATTTTAACTTTGAAAAGCTTCTTTCTGCAGAGGCAATAGTAACAGGTATGGTCAACAATATTCTGTAAGCAATCCAAGCATTCGGAAACGTACCATCCAATTTCTTCAAATAATTTAGCACGTCAATTGCTTTTTTTTGTTTCTTTTGGTAAGTATTCTCTCAAAAGTTTTAACTCTAAAAATAAATCTTCGCCATCAATATCAAAATGACTGTCATGCTTTAAAGATTCTTCAAGTTTCGCACAATAAGCCTTCAAACTAGCATCATCAACAATGTTGAATTTCATCAAATCAAATAAAAACCCGAAGACTTCTTCATAATGCCGAAATTGTTCAAACCTACTCTTAAGAGAAGAAATAACTTGATCCACTATATATAGAAAGTATTTAACTCTAAATGATTCTTCAGGATATAATATTGTCTCTTCGGTAGCACTTTCATCAAATTGCCTCTTCCTGCGAATGATACGCTTTTCACGAAATACAGCTTCAATTTCCATTTCAGATGCAACCTTTTTAGCTTCAGTAATGGCCTCCTTAAATCCATTTTCTCTGTACTTTTCAAAAAATAATATAAGCCCATTCAATTGATCTATAGCAATATCAATTTGCATGTCTTCCTTTTGCAAAAATTTGCTAACAGAATTAACAGCAAATAATAAATTGTGCCAAACAATCATACCCAATAAGAACTCAAAATTCTCCATTTCATTTGTTGCTAAGGACTCAGCTTCACTCTTTATTTTTGGATCTCCATCGATACTTGCCAAGTGAATTAAAGCATCTCTTATTTCTGTAGCTTGAAATCTTACTGCTCTTACACTTTCAACATGACTTTCCCACCGTGTTTGTGACAATGACTTAAGTGTGAGACCAGAAACATGTTCTTTGAAAATATCCCACCGCTTAGTAGAAGATGAAAACAAAGTATATAAACGTTGTATCACTCCAAAAAAAGATATAGCTTTCGCACAAGAGTTTGCCATATCGCAAAGTGCGAGGTTAAGACTATGGCAACCACATGGAGTGTAGAATGCTCTAGGATTTACTTCAAGGAGTCTTTTCTGCACACCTTTATTTTTTCCTTTCATATTAGATCCATTGTCATACCCTTGTCCTCTTACATTAGAAATATCAAGTTCCAGAATCTTCAATACATCTTCAAGTTCGCTAAAAAGTCCCAGTCCAGACGTGTCGTCGACCTTAAGAAATTCTAGAAAGAACTCTTCTACCTTTACTGGACTTTCTGAAACATCCACACATCTTATTATAAGAGTCATTTGTTCTTCATGGCTTATATCTGGAGTACAATCTAGTATAACAGCAAAATATTTTGCTTCTTTGATTATTTTGATCATTGTATGTTTGATCTCTCCCGCTAACATTCCTATCAGTTCGTTTTGAATTTTATGACTGAGATAATGCTTATGAGATTCACCACTTTGATAACGTCGAATATGCTCTTTCATTACCGGATCAAATTCAGCAATCATTTTAATTAAACTTAAAAAAATTCCATTGTTCTCTTGATAAATCTTCTCATTATCCCCGCGAAATGCTAAACCATTTTTAGCAAGTGTTTTTACAACAGCAAGTATTCTTAATAACACTTGTCTCCAATGTTCTCTCTTTGTTTAATATTTCTAGCACACTTTTATCAATTGTTTCAATACTACGCAATCTCATTTCCAATTCAATCCAACTTCTCATGCAACTTATGTGCTCACTACTCCCTTCATGACTTTGAAGTCTATGACTAAGATTCTTCCAATTTTTAAATCCTTCATTAACCAAAGAACCCATTTGATTCTTGTTTCCATCTTTTCTAAATAATTTGCAACAAAAGCAAAATACCACATTCAAAGAAGTTGAATATATTAGCCATCTCCTATCATGTTTCTCTCCATTTAACCATTGTCGAGTGTAATGAGCGGAAGAGAAATGCCTGCCTTCAATATCTTTAGGAAAATCAATAACAACTCTTTTAGGTCCTCTTTCTACTAAAAGATCTCTCAATTTTTGATCAATATTGCCCCAGTTTGCTGGATCGTCAACATTCATGTTTTCATTGACATTCTCAATCCTAAGTTGAGTAGGTTCTTCAATGTTTCTATCATCTTCTGCAGGTTCTTCAATATTCATATTGTGTTCAGTAGGTTCTTCAATATTCGTATCATTTTTCTGTTCTTCATTTGGATTTTCTTCGTTATTATAATCTTCGTTATCATGCTCTGTATGTCTACTACTAAAAAACTTATCCAACGCTCCTGCTTGAGAATTTTCCAATTTTTCCAATTTTTGTTTCTTTTTTCTTTTTTCATATCCAGAACTATACTTTCTAGGAAGCATGATGAACACTGAAAAAATATGATCAATCAACAATGCAAATTTCAGATCAACAAAAAATTATATACAAATACTAAAATACATAAGATCAACAAAAATTATAATTTATAAAGTTATAAAATTACCTTGAAATTTTCTGGCTCAAGTACTACTCGACTCTCTACAACTTCGGCAGAGTGGGCCGAGTGGCGAGTCCGATCGGGGCCAGAGCCGGCCTGTACACGAAAAATAAATTCGTCTGAATCCTCTCGTGTTTCTTCCTTTCAATTAGAAACACTGAATTTGACATTGAACAGTAACAAAATTAATCGTGTTTGACAAAATTAACAACAAATATCGAAACAAAACCCAAAAAATTGAAAGGAATGGCTCACATGAAAGTTTAGAAGGATTAATTTTAGAACGTTAAAGTGCAATTTCACTCTAAAAAAAGGAGAAGTTGACAGAAAACAAAGGTTTTAATATTCAGAATTAAGGATTACCCACCAGCTAGCTGAACCAATCAAAATATTCAAACTTTGACAACAGAGAATAAAAATTGATAAACTTTTAGAAAAGTACCGTCATCTTCAAGAATCAAAGATTACCCATCAATCCAAACCCAAAAAAGATTCAAACTTTGACGAAAAATAAAGATCAAAACTCAAAAGCGTAAGAGACGTACGAAATTGCCAGCTCCAAGTTCGGGGCTTACCGCTTACATACTCAACGTTCAGGTCGCCGGGCATTTTAAGAAATTCATTCTGTGGTCCTGTGGACTTGATTATGAAAAGCTTCCTTGAATGGGGGGCAATTCTTTGAGACTTGAATTGTGATCTGGGAAAGTGGGAATTAATTAATAAAAGATTTGACGGCTGATGGACGGGACTTACTTTGCTTTTATTAGACTTTGATGGGCTTCTATATAAGGATGCCAGCTATTTTTCGGGGCCCCTATTTTTTGGGGGCCCCAGGCGAACGCCTCACCCGCCTATGCTATAGGCCGGCTCTGATCAAGACTGAATGGAAGCCTGTCTACAGTGCACATATTGAATTGTCAATAGGATTCTTCAAGAATACACAAACCCACGTTAAAATAGCTCCTCAACACCAACTGTAGGAGTCAAATTTCACATACACCCATAATACATATATAGGGAATGATGGGTGAGGTGATGGTTCATTTTGCTAAATGAGCTACCAAGAGATAAGAGTGGTGAGGTCCACACCTTGTGATGTGACCAGCAAAGTGGGCCTCATCACATGACTATTTCTTATTAGTTCATTTATATATATATATAATGTCCCATATTCGCACCCGCACTTGCCCCCGTATCTATGAAACATAGGCTATAACCCATGATTTTTGTCCATTTTTAAATGTCTCAACATGATGGCAATTAAAATTTATTTCTTTAAAATTCGTGATTTTCATGGATATAACCCACTATAAAGGCTTGGTAAGTCCAAGTGAGTCTGTTGTGTCTTGTCTAGTTGTCACCTTTGTAATATTACCATATCTAGGTGAATTTGACAGCATGCGGATTTTCTATTAATTTTTCTTTCTCCCTCTTCCATACCCTTATGAAACATGATTATTACGTGATTGATAGAATTTATCTCAAAAAAGGTGATGCTGAGGATGATTATTTTTTTGTTCATAAAGCAACACGAAGGAGATAACTTGGGAAAGGCTTCTCGTTTAGTTTTCGCCCCCTCCATCTTTTTTTTAATTTTATGCATATGAGGATTGAATGCTGGATAGGGTAATTCCTGCAATTTTTTCCTTTTTGAGGAAGGCAAGATGATTTGCCCCTCGCAGCGTCATTGACAAAAGTTTAATGAAACACAGATATGCCCACAAAAGATGATTGTTTGCGCATCAGTTGTTTCTTTTGCTTTATACATGCAGTTCATAACTTGTTTATATGGCACACTTTTGAACGTCATCCCTTATTACATTTGTGGTGGTTAATGATTTGTGGTAAAATATGCCAACAGGACGTAGTGTTGCTTTTCCCGGCTATGCGTTGGGCTCTGGTTTGACGCCTGCTGCTGCGAAGGCAAGAAATTTATTTGTGAAGAGTTCACATTGATTTCAAGTGGAGTTATCTTGAGGTCCTATTAATACTTGAATGCATAATAGGGCATTGGAGGTTGATGTTTCTTTTATGTGTGAAGTTTCTTGAAGTACTTTTCAACTTTCAGGACCTAGGCCTGTTGGTTGGAACACCAGTTGGAACTTCACTTATTGATGCTCATGCGGGTGGTGTTGGCGTTATGGAAAGTGTGCCTGAATCAGAGGCTCTAGTTAATGGTAAGTGTAGATTCAAACTATATTTGAGCCTCCCATGCTAATAAACACTTTACAGTCAATATTTGAAATTAGAACTCTACTTCTCTCGATCTAAATTCTCTACATATTCCTGCAGCTGATGAGGATGATATTTCTGCACCTGATGAGGATGCAATTTGTCACCGAATGGTATTAGTGTGTGGAACGTCAACTTGTCACATGGCTGTTTCACGAAATAAAATGTTCATTCCAGGTGTCTGGGGACCATTTTGGTCAGGTATCCAATGTGTTTTTTCTGCATTTTGAAAGTAAATCTTAAGTGTTTATTATTTCATTTGTTTTTCCTGCTTTTGCTTTTAAGCATTGATGGTATCTGCTATTGACAATTGGTATGGTCATGTTTCTGCTGATGCTTCTTCTTGTATGTGTAGCTATGGTGCCTGAGTACTGGTTGACCGAAGGTGGTCAAAGTGCCACTGGGGCTTTGTTAGATCATTTACTTGAGAATCATGTTGCTGCTCCTCTTCTTGCTAATCGTGCAGCGTCCCAAAGTATGGTGTTATCTTCTGTTTTGGTGTGGAGATATGTATACCCATGTCCTAATCCACCTGTTTCGGACGTTTGATTTGATGTTCTCCTGTTTCTGAATTGTTTAGGGACATCTGTTTTTGAATTGTTGAACAAGATGTTACAATCCATGGCGGATGAGTTGAAAATTCCATTTCTTTCTGCCTTGACTAAAGGCATACATGTCCTTCCCGACTTCCATGGAAACAGGTAAGCAACACATAACAAATACAGTGGAAATTGTGTTCTTTTGGCTGTATACTTTGCACTACATGACTGAATTATGTAAGATATTTTTCGCTATCATGGAAGATGAGGAATGATTTTTTGAAATGCTGACAGACTTGATTCTCATTACTTTCTTGTAGTAGCTTTACGGTCTCCACATAGCTGTCCTGTAAAACTATCATATTGATAATATTAAATTTATCGCAACGCATAACAAATACAACTTTGTCACTGCTTTGCTTCATTCTTCTCCTCCCTTATTTGATTAAATTCTTAGCACACCCATTTCAAACTCCTAAAGCATATCACACATCCTTATGTTTCAACTTAGCTTTGTAACCATGTCAAATGAGTTTGATAAAGGTGTAGGGATAATATGCGTCAAAGTAGTAACTTGAAAAAAAAAATGAAGGCATTGACAACCTTACCAATTTTTCTTGATATAGGACATATGTTGCATGGAAATTACTTCAGTTTGATGGAAGCATGAGGATGCTTGATG